GAAACGGAAAAAGCAGACACCTGCATTGCATAGTAGCGTAGGCAGAGCCGCTTGATGCTTGCTTTGTGCATCTGTGCATCACACTGACGGCATTCGCAGAGGCCCGCTGCCCAACACGGCATGACGGTGCGTCAAGGCGACGTGAAGCCTAGCCGGCCTAGCCAGAGCCAGGAATGCTAAAGAGCAAATCGTCTAGACGGATCAGGAGGTGTCGGGGCGTTGCAGGAGACTGAAATGTCACAGGAGTAGAACAAGTGCTTTCAGACCTGCGTCCGTTCGCAAGAAGTATGACGAACCAGCCAAAACGAGCGCTTCCGGACATCTTCACAGTTGTTTGACTCTTTCCAAGCATTGACTGGCCCGCATAGCAGCAGGCCGGTCTTGTGTGGGAGCTCACCTGTCGCAAGCTCTCCTGTCACCCGTGGTGATCCATGGTGTGTTTGTTGGTCAGGCTCGAGCGTTCTTGGGTCGCCCTGCCCTCAAACTGTTGTCGTGATGCGAAACGGCAGAACCCGGCAACAAATTCGCCCAGACTGCGGCGCTTCTCAGTCAATTTTGCTTGCAGCCGAGATTGCAGCTTTGCACGCTCAATTCTCTGATTACGTTCTTCCGCATCGCACGGCATGGTCGCCGGAAGTGGAATGCGATGTCGTTGGAAGTCGCATCTCGCAACCGTCCGGAGACTAGCAAGAAAGATCTCGGCTTGGGCGTTTTGCGCCTTCCCAAGGTGCGTCGGGCTATGGGCGAAGCCTTCGCAGGGCTCTCAGATCGCGGTTGGTGGTCGCTGATCCGTGGATCTTTCCTGGCAGAGCTATTCTTCTGGCGTCTTGCCGTTGAAAGGTTTTGTTCAGGGTTCCTTTTCGCTGTGCGTGGACGCTAGTAGACTTTGCATTTGGAAGGCAGCGGGGAGCTTGCAGGCGATTGTTGAAGAGATCGCGTAAAAATAAATCCCTTCCATTCCGCAGGCCTTGCGCAGAACCAGACAGCCCAACCAGCTGCAGCGGGCCCAGATATTGTGTCGGAGAGCATTGCGACTCGTGGTGTGGTCCTGAGTGGGAATATTCGCTCGAATATGACTTCTTGCATTTTTGAGCTGGTATTGCCTCTCTCCATCCTCGTAGCACTTGTATCACCGACACCAGAAGAAGTTCCATAACCATGATAATCCAGGACGGGTCAGAATCATTGCTGCAGCCAGAGTAGTGCGAGGTAGAAATACATCCAGGAATGTAGGAATCTGATGCAATACCAACAGAACTGATCTGCTAGTGGTGCTGATACTGATTTACCGCACCTGAAAATCAGCTTCGAAGCCAGAAAAATGCGCACGCATGCGCACGCAATACCCACTGTAGCAATTTTCATGTTGGTTCACCTTATGACGTGCGTTGCGCTACATCCTGGTAGGGATACGCTTCAATTGAGCTGCTAGCTCGCCTCCGCTGCTTGTGGGATTTTTTTGCATGGCGCGCGAACTCTCTCCCATAGCAATTGCATGGTTCGTCTCGGTGGATGCGATAACTGCGGTGTTCCAGCGGCCGGTGCATAAGGGAGGTGCATTGATATCCTGGTTCCTATCGCGAAACTCGGTTTTGAAGATGTTTCTGCTAGAGCCAGCTGGTGCCAGCTGCGACCCCTTGAAATGCACGTGGCTGCAAGGAGCTGTGCGGTGAGGTGGCGCAGGTCCTGCCTTGGCCCCGGAAGTTCACGCATCATGCAAATGTTCTGTTCGGCTCGCAGAATCACACCCCCAGACTGGAGTGTGGGAGGCACGCGACACTGTCACTAGGTGTCAGTTCTTGGTGCACACACCGGCCTCTGCATGCGGAACCGTGACTCTAGTGGTCAGATCCGTAAGGTTGCTGCATCCAGCATCAAAGAACTCAGCACGTAAGTTGAACTGTAGCTGACTGAGTCAACTCGAGCGGGAGATGGAAGTCGGTGGGGGTTTCGGCCGGATGCCCAAAGTGAGAATTTCGACTTGCTTTCTCAATGCAAGCTTCAAGTGCAAGAGCCCGTGTCCGTCGCTCGACGTGCTTCTCGCGTTTGGCGCAATTGGCTCAGTCACACCGGCAGTGCT